TCTCACTGCTTGTAGAATTTTGTTCTTCTGTTGGGTTTCTGGAATCCTATTATATGCCAATGTGTAGATTTTTTTTGATCAAGGCTAGTTGGAGTCCTATATGCCTCACTTACCTGTATGTCTTGTTCTTTTCCCCTGCTTGGGAAGTTTTCTACCATCACTTCTGTGAACAGTTTATGTCATCTGCACTCTCCTCTTTCTTCATTGACTCTATCAGTCTTATGTTATTCGTCTTTGGATCGCCTAGCAGCTGCTGGATTGACTTCTCATGGTCCCTTACAATTTTAGAGCATTTTTTGTTTTCCTGGTCACTAATTGCGATCTTATCTTCTGTATCTGAAATTCTATCCTCACATTGGTTCATTCTGCTGCCTAGACTTTTGATGGAGTTTTTAATCTCCTGGAAATCTGTTTGCATCTGTTTTATGGATTGCATTTGTTTCCTATGTTGGGATTCCATCATGTTCCTCAGCTCCTCTATTTTTTTTATCTGTGTCCTCCCTAGATTTATTAAATCATGTCTTGCACTATGGGCACAATCTTTGCTGTTATTTGAGAAATTACTTGATTTCATTTTTTCCAGATCCTCTTTTGTTGCAAGTTCAGGGAGTCCAAGTGGTTGAGTATTAGACTGTTCCATCTGGTTTCCCTTTGGGGTTGATATAGGTGATCTGGAAGTCTGTTTTTGAGGCTTGTTTATGTGTGTTCTCATTTCCATGGGGGTGGGGGTGTGTGTGTGCTGCTGGCACCCAAGTGGCTCACCTCCTCTGCCCTAGGAGTGGTGGAATGGCAGCGGGGGAGCCTCCTCCTGGGCACTGGGATTGGCTCACCTCCTCTTCCCTAGGAGCAGTCTATATGAGGATTTTTAAAATGCTAGGCAAACTATAAACCATATAGAAAATTTTCATTACTTACTATAGAGGAATTCTGAAGGATTTTTTTTTTGAATATTTTAAAAATGAGATACAGGGAGAAATCATAAGTGGTATTTTCTTCTGTAATTACCCACAATGAGTTGAAGCCTTCTGCCATTTTCGACATCTGAATCCACATTCTGCCCCTAGCAGGTACAGCACAGTTGCAGCAGAGACATCATTTTGTACACCTAATAGTCATTTTCTTCTCCCTTTCCAGCAGAATCCCGATTCATTTGTGTCACCTCTTCCCAGAGGACTTGGGGGAATCGTCCTAATTGGCCAAATCTTATCAGTCATGCTTCCCATGTGACACATTCACCCCCTTTCTATATGGAGGTGGCCATGATGCTCCTGGCCAATTTAAAACCAATTTGAGACAGTAACTATCATTGCTGACCATCATCAAATCTGTATGGGACACATGGAATGGTAGGAGCCATCTTAAGATAATGAAAGGAATGTTAGAAGAGGCTGAGCAATGTAAAAGGCCCTGAAATTCCTGAACTGTAGTTCTTCACAAGGTAAACTTTTCCTTTCAAACCAGTGCTTCTCAAAATACTGGTCTAAAGTCAGAGCTACTACCGGAATGTAAATCACGGCATTCTTTGTTTCATCAAGAAGTTTGTGAAAAACAGAACCACATTTGATTTCACACACTAAGCTAATCACCTAGGAAATGTTTACTCACAGAACACTGAAACGCAGATAGGAGGAAGATGTGCTTTTGTAGATTGTGACCTTTCCGGGTTTCAAGAACCCTTTCCACAAATGCTCACTGACTGCTCTGCACAGTATGGATGAAAAACATGATTAAGTAAAACCCCAAGTTTTAAGAAAAACATGATTAAGTAAAACTTCCAAGGCTGCGGACTGCGGGGCATAACTGAACATGAGGCACCTCACTGTGCAGGTGAAGTTCATGTGAACAGATGTGCAGCTCAGCACCACCCCTGCATCACGAGATCTGAGGTCTAGATGTCTGCTGGGCACAGGCAAGTAGTGAGGATTACCAATCTGTAACTACTGCATAACGGCTTCCGGACCAGCCGGAATGGTTTACCTAACTGTCCACTTTAGTTCCTCCATCTCACTGGTTCTGAGGTAAGTACCACGTCTAGAACCTAGACATTGTCTAAATTTAAACATTTTCATTTTGGTCTTTTCAACTATTCTGAAGTTACATAGTCATCAACTATGCTGATGACTGGTCCAGCCTGGTTGTACTCAAGCAAATTTGGTCCTTGGCCCACATTATTAACCTCTATTGTATCGACTTTAACAAAATGCAGGGTATTTCCCATTTTTCCCTGGCTATAGCTTATGGAAGCAATGTAGTGGCTTCTACTGAAAGCTGTCTTGGGTTCTGATCAAATCTCATCAGGATTCTGGAGTGAGCGAAAGACAAGTAAAGGCATGAACATTACACCAGGTTCCCTGGTATAATTACTTCAAAAATCTGTATTTTTATGAGACCTTTCTTGTTTTAAGTGTTCTAATCGGTGCAGGGAAAAAAATTCCAAACATCAATCATGTGTGGCATTTCCTAAAAACTAAAGCCAACTTTAAATCACTTGCAGATTTCAAATTAACACTTTTAGCAAGTATACTGTGCCTAGATTGTGTCAAAATTATTTTCGGTGGTTTTTAAAACTGGAACACTTGAAAACTCTGACTGTAGTATGGACAAATCTTACCCCTTCACTTCAAAGCCTTGAACAGAACAAAAACTGACCTATAAATTGTGCCATCACACTGTCTCTTGTGCTGCCACTCAATAAACTTTGAGTGCATCCAGGCTCCTTAAAGGAGCCAATTCCTTCAAGGTCTTGATGTGAATCTTTTCTCTGGAGAACCTGAACACAGAAACTAAGCAATTGTCTGGCCTTTACCACTCAGCAATATGCTCCCATCACTCAGGGCAGCCTGTATCGGGATGAGACAATCTCACGGGATGGGAGGTCCCTCATTCACCTATGCCCCTCAACTACCTTTCCATTTATATCCTGCTACCAAATGTGATTCCTGACCTTTTACACCAGAAAAAAAACCACATAGGGCTGTCAGAAGTCAAAATGTCTTTATACAGCTCACTGAAGCTCAAACTAATCTAATGAAGCAGCATTATTTCAAGAAAATCAAGACAACTGTTTTTATAGTTTAGTAACAAAAAGACTGCAATCGAGTTCGGTGACTTCGTAAACCCTAAGCTTTTACTCTTGGCATGTGCTATTTCCAAAGACTAAAAAAATCTTAGTTCCATAGAAAAGTACCAGAGCATGACATTGACTTATCACTGGATAGTAAGAAATGACGACAGAAAAGTACAGGATCATCTGGGCAGTTCCCGGAGTGAAGACTGCTAGACAGTTGTTAAAAAGAAGCTGAAGACAGCCCATAGCATATAAATTGAGAAAAATATCAAAACTTAAAGGTCCTAGCAAATCAGTTTTATACTAAGGCCCCCAAGAAAATCTAGTGTTATAATGAGGATGGGCCCAGCAGCTGTTTTGTTCCACAAAGGGATGCAGGATTGTTTAGAATGATTTTTCAGGGATCTAGATATGTGCTTTTATATGAATGTCCAAGTTTTTCAATGTTGGTTTAAAAACAGTATAGCGGCACCCTCTTACCAAAACATCTAGAGGACAGACTGCCAGTCTGCAGTGCCTTTGCATAGCGTTCATCTAATGTTTCAAAAGTGAACAAGCCAGGATTAATATTTGAGAGCTGACTTTTCCCTGCCTACTACAAAGTCCTAGAAACTGCATCACTTGTGTGTTAAGTGATGTGCAGTACTTCACTATGTATAAATAATTCATTGATAAGATCTCAATCAAAACCATCATATCTTTTACTTTCTTCTCGGCATATTACAGCTAAAACTCCAGAATAAATTGAGAACATTCTCTTAACTATGGCTTATATTTACTGGTTAACAGTACAACTAATGAGGGGAAAAAATTCTTGATTATTACTTATGGAGAAAAAAACAATCATTTCTTTAAAGCACAGAGGAAAACTAAAAGTGTATGTTCTCTCCCTTACAACCACCAGTGTCACTATATAACAAATTACCAGCAAGAGTCTGACCTGATAATCAAAAAATTAAAAATCTCAAAATTTAAAACTATCAAACTAAATAATATAGTTGATTAAAAATCTAATGCTGGAGAATTTCCCAAATAATAAAATAAGCCCATGTTCAGTAATCACATTCTGTATTTCAGAGAAGAGGCATCAGGCATTCATGTCATCCGTTTATTTACAAACATCTCTAGTATGTCATGTGAATTCAAGTTTGATCTGTTTCCAAAGAGATTACACCTCTTGAGAAATTCTTCACATCTGCAAAACAAAAACAAAATTTAATGGCATTTGAAAACTCCCACTCATTTTAGATATCATGTAATGCCATTAATACATTGTTAGTCAGCTTAGCACATCAGAAAGCGTTTACAGTATCATGACTGTTCATACTGATTTGCTTCATCATATGTGCCATGAAAAAAAAAAAAACAAACACAGAAGAAAAAAACCTTTATGTTAATGGCTCGAGTAAATCATTCTCCTTCTAAACTATTTTCTCAACTAGGAAAATAGGCTTTTCATGTTAAGGTACCTTTTCTTTTTTGTTTTTGCTTAAATCCTTTTATTGGTACATTTTAGGTATACGATACATTTACATTTATCACTGGGCGCGTGTACCTGTATAGGATGTATCTTGGTTCTTATTTTTTCCCCATTATCTGTGCATTCCTCATCCCCTCGACCCTTCCCTATTTACACACTTTGTTCACATTTTGAAATTTATTTTAATCATCCTACAGAGCTTCCTATAACATCATTTTGAAAAATTCTGACCACAATGATATTAAATATTTTAGTCACACAGAGGACTTGCTAACCTACCGATACACAAGTTTCTTTGAGTATATACTAACACATATTCCCTTAATGCAGGGTTTCTGAACCTTGGAACTCCAGTATTTTGCCTCCTAGTTGGGACAATCAAAAAATTTAAAATATTCCCAGACATCGTCCAGTGCCTCTCTGGTGCAAAACTCTTCCCATTTGAGAACTACTGCCTTCATTTCCCCAAGATGGGTAAGCTGATCAGGATTTATGGTAGCACATCTGGGACACAAACTGAAGGAGTACTAGATTTTCCTTATTTCCTGAAAATTTTCACATACTAAATCAGTATTGTAAGATTTTCAGAACTGAGAGCACAGTGATCATTTAGAAAAGAAATCAAAAAGTTCATAGTGTTTAAAGAGACCTATTCTAAGCCATTATTATTTTAGTAGAAAACTACTCATCAGTCAGTTTAGTAGAATTTTACCTAGTTTAAAGTGTGCACTCTGGACCAAGACTGCCTGGACAAGAATCCTGGTTCACCATCACTACAGCAGCTATGGCATCTTATGTAACTTATCTTTGTGTCTTAGAGTTAAAATCACAACCTTGCTTGTGGAGAAACCATGAGATTATCAATGTAAAATGGTACTGAGCCGCTGGCAATAAGAAATAATTTGTTTACAGGTTTATCAACTTGTGTCTACCACTGCTACAGCCAGACTTAATGTCAGGAAGTGCGTGTGTGTGTGTGTGTGTGTGTGTGTGTACTATGGTTAATTTTGGAAGATGGGGTGGATTCAATATAAAACATCACTGCTTTAAAAAGATTTGAATTACCTGTGAAAGGGATGTTAAAACATCCTTATTTCTTAAGTAGTTGGTGTCTCACTATAAAGAAAGGTGCTGCAAATCCAGATCCAAAGTACAAGGTCATCATAACCAGTAACCGCCACTTGTTTTCCACGGAAAATGGCAAATTCTGTTGGGACAGAAAAGAGAACAAACAACAAAAAATATAACTTCAAATCAGATTTTTTATCAATCAAAAAAGACAAGTACACAGGGAGCACCAGGAAGGATAAGTAGATATACTCTTACAAAATCAGGTGCCTGCAACACTACAAGTATCTGGTTTTTTTGAACACCATGCAATGGTCTTTGGGACTCAGGTGTAAATAGGGGAGTGGTTTCCTATTTTTAAAAAGGTTTTATTGCACATGTTCACAGAAAACAATGATTACATTTATCATGTGCAGCTCGTCCATAGCCATGGCACATCTTCATTCTTTACTCTTCAAATCTGTCATTTCAGAAACAAAATGCAGCATGGCACGATACTGCTCATTAAACATCGGCCACGTAATAAATGGTGATGTGGCAATGCTGATGACTATGAAGTCTGCCTTTTCCTGCTACCTCCTTTTTCTGCTAAGCCTCGCCTAACCCTCTGAGCTCGCTCTTGACTCCTCGATTTGACTTATTTTCATTTGAGCTTAAACCGCTGTAATTGAAGAGGGTTAATTAGCACGGCTAGTTTATTCAACTAGCTGCAGGAAACAGGGAGATAGATCTTTTGCAAAAGAGACAGGGACCAAGAGATAGGAGGAGGAGGGAGGATAAAAAAACAATTCGGATGTGTTATGTGCACGCAGAAACTCCCCACGACCGACGCAACCCTTACGCAATGTGAACACGGACTCGTGAGAGGCACAATCCCGAAGTAGCAGGTCTGATGCCCAGCCTCGGCCTCGCGTCCGCACTGTCCCCGGTGACCCCCAGCTCGGCTTCAGGCCTCAGCACCTGCAGCCGCCGAGCCCGCCTGGGTCTCGGCGGTCGCGGGGCTCGGCGCGGGCCGAGGGGCAGCGGAGCGGCGGGCTCTACCCGCGGGCCTCGGCAGCTCCGGGCGGGTGCGCAGCTCTGCCCGCCCCGGCGGCCTGGGTGCGCGCGTCGCCGCCGAGGTCCCCGCCTGCAGCCCTCGAAGCCGGGCCGCATACGCACCTTCCCGGGGCCCTCCTCGTAGTGGCTCCGACGCACCGCAGAGGCTGTGAACCTCCGGATACTCTGTCCCAACATGGTGCTGCCGGAGCTCTGCGGAAAACGCAGACAGAAGGCGGAGGACACGGCCGCAACACCTTAGAACCTCGCGCACTCTCTCGACCTTGATCCCCAGACGAAGATACCGGAAAGGGAGACGGGAAATGGGACGCAACTTCCCGTAAGCGGCGAAGTGGCGGGCCGCGAGGATTATGGGAATTGTAGTGCAGAACATGGCGGCGCCTCACCAGCCCCGGAGATTTGTGGGAAATGTAGTCCAGCGCTGGGCTGTAGCAGAATCAGAAACTGGTGATTTCTTAACAAAAATCATTCATTCAGACCTGGGTTCTTTTCTTGAGTCTGTTTCCAAAAACGATTTTGTTTAATTAAGCGAAGCAACTTCACTCTTTGTGTTATAGTTTATGGAACAGGAAAATAAACTCACCAGTTCTTTGGCAATATTGAGAGATACATGATATGATTTTTTTTTCAGAGACTAATGGTGCATTGAACACAAGGTAACAATGACTTAACTGGCTGAATTTCTCATCAGAATCAATGGTGATGAGAAAATACATATAAAGTGGTAAAAGTAAATATCTGTCAATCCTGAATTCTATATCCAGTGAAAATATTCCATCATGAAATGAAATACATTTTCATGGAATGAATTAGTCAACAGCAGATATGCTAAATAGTATGAGACAGAAATGTGGATAATCAGGTATAAATAGAAACAGAAGTGGTGATACCTAATACACTAGTTCATTCTCTTAAGTCTCTAAAATTATTGTGGTCCAGCTTTGTTCTTTTTGTTTAAATTTGCTTTGTTTGCTGAGGCCTTTTGTGGTTTCATAGGAAGTTGTTTTAGTTTTTTAAAAAACTTATTTTGTTTTAATCTTTATTTTAATTAGTCCACACTTGCAGTACATAATGATTGCATTCATTGCGGGGAATTGGTCGATGTACATAATACATCTGATTGTTTTTATGTCCCCTTCCCCACTCCTCCCTCCCCCTTGTGCATCTCAAGACACACTGTGATCTTATTCAAGGAAACGAAGCATAAAAACAAGTAACCAAATGACATGGAGCATGATGGTTGTCAGAGAGAAAACTGAGTTGACGTCCTGCAAGGATAGATTTCTGAAGAAACAGGGAATTAAACATAACACAAGAAGAGAAAATTCAAGTCCATGTGGAGTATGGCTTGTCTGGAGTGTGGAAACGGAAAGGAATCTCTGACATCTGAATCTAACCTGGACTAGGAATTGATGTGTTTCTGCTGAACATACACAATTTCATGGAGGATCAACCTCAGACAAGGCCACTTAGAGCTAGGTGTATCAACAAAAAGGTCACTGTGATATCATATTTTATATAGGTAAAAGCAGAAGTATTATCCAAGTTACTGTTATATTGAAATAAGTTTACTCTAAGCCTGTCTCTGCATTTGGTGATAAAGTGTGACTGAAAGCAGTCTGTACAGTATATAGGAACTATACCCTAGTTTAATAGGTAAACAAACTGTAACCAAGCAACTAAGTCTTAGCCACTAACAGCACTCAAGCTTCAATAAATCAATCACAGGCTGCAAACTGATCAGACCATGAATATATGAAGGAATGCTGATGAAAGCCAATTGGTTGCTTCCGTATGTAATTTTCCCCTCTGGCTATAAATATAACCTATACATGAGATGGAGTAGGGCATTCAGAGTTGTCTTTAATCTGGAATGCTGCTGGTTCTTTCTTTCTTTCTTTCTTTCTTTCTTTCTTTCTTTCTTTCTTTCTTTCTTTCTTTCTTTCTTTCTTTTTCTTTCTCTCAAGTAAATTTTCTTAAATTGAACTGGTCTTAGTTTTTTTTCTTCTTCTTCTTTTTTTTTTGGTACTGGGGATTGAACTGAGGACCTTGAGCTTTTGGGGCAGGTGGCGGAACCACTGTGCTAAATCCCCAGCCCCTTAGTGTTTCTTCTAACACCACAAAAATGGCTCAATATTACCCTATGTGGTTTAATATAAAATTCCTGCATCTTAGTCAATTGCAGTCTTAGCCTTGGTGTAGTTTGTTTTTCATGCTAAGACTTGGGAAGATAGCAAATGTCATGGAAAATAAGCTGCAGTCCTCTCAAGTTCTTTCGAACATTCTACTGAGACCTAGGAGCACCTTGTGGTGCATGGACTCTCATACTGTAAAGAATAATCATAAACCCAGACTGTTTCTTTGTAAGTGTGTTCCTAGTAGTCTGATTTTGGAAAGAAACCCAAAACAAATAAGATTAGGGAAGTCCTGTGAGATTGTGAAGGGTTTTGGAACTTAAGTGTCTCTTACTCATTGGTCGGGGTGTGTATACTGCTTCACATGGGTAATTTATGCAGCTGTAGTAAACAATTTGAGTGAGATGTAAGTTTTGCTTTGAAAAGTGTTTATGCTTTAATATCTTTTTCAATATTTGAAAGAAAAAATCCAGGCTGTGCCCCACCAAAAATTTTTTTTAAAAGTCAATGTTTTATTTCTACAAGTAGCTTCTCATTGAGTAGGGATACAATAATAGAATACGTAGAAGATACGTGATCATATATTTTTATTGATATTTTCATATTAAAAGATTCCAATGTGACTAACACTGGGAAACTTTCACATTTAATATTTTCAGATTCTACTTTTCAATCTAATGTAAGTAATGTCACTTGTAGACTTGGTTCAGCTTTTCTTCTACTTCATATGGAAGCCTCCTCTGCATATCTGGCTTTGAATCAACTCACATGGTGTTCAAAGTCCTAAGATTCCAAAGTGGGTAATGGCTTCAGAATTTTCTTTCTCTTTATGACCCTGTGGCAAATTAAACATGCTGCAATTCTTTTTGAGACTGAGTCAATCCCCCCAGCCTTGGATCTACATGGACTCCTGTGACTACAATGGCTTGGAGTGTTGCAGGAACGACAGTGGGCCCATGTCGTCCTGCCCCCTCCATACAACAGTATCACAGCTTCCTTTCCTGTCTTTTGGAACACTGTACCTTGGAACCTGAGCTCTCAGGTAAGCAAGCCACTTGACTGCTCTCCTAGGAAGGGCTCCTGGATAGACCCTGGGACTCCTTAGGAGGTCACCCAGGGGCCAGACACATCCATGCAGTCCCCTTGGACCCTTCGGCTGAGCCCAGACACCATCAGGATACCCCTGAGTGCCCTCAGTAAACGCGGCATAGAGCAGAGCTGTCCAACTGAGCCTTGCTCAAAATGTTCTACAGGTTTATGAAATACAATAAAATGGCTGTTCTTTCAAGCAATGTAGCTCAGGGTAGTTTGTTAGGCAGGGATAGATAGATAATTAGAAGTGACATAACTGCTTTATTTAAGGAAACCAGCCTTTTTACTAGCTCCCACAAGGAGGAAGCACTTCCTCAGCATCAATCTTGGGAAAGGAATTTGGCTCTGTTGTTTAAAATATTTATCTCAGCTTAATTCATACCTTTCTTTCAATGAATGCTTCTTTGATAATCCTCCAGCTGTAATAAAGTTGAGCTGTGTTGAGCCTCTATCAGAACATCAAAATAAAGTGATGTAGAGTGGTTTTATTTGATGCTTTCATTTCAGCTCTGGCACACTTTGGAGATTTTAGTGGTCTCAGCGATTCTAAAATAAACTGGAGTAGGGTTAAAAGTGACCGAAGAGCACTCACTCAACTCTAGCCATGGTCATGTTTGCCTACAGCTTTATGAAACCTGTTAAACAAGAATTACCTAGACAATTTCATAAGCTCTGGGAACTGGAAGAGAGTGTAACACATTTTTGACTCAAGTCACCACATTTGGGGGTATTTTTTTATGTAGGAGTAGGAACATTCAACAAATTTCATACACTGTTTCTTGTACAAGGAGCATAACAACCTGTATTCCTATCAGGTGGCTTGCAAGAAAGATGTGACTCATTACAGTGAAACTTTGGGCTCAATAGGATAGGCTTTCACTGTAAGGTGCATTTAAAAAATGAGACATTTCATGAATTTGATTCATTAGAAAATGTAAAATACGTTAAGGGATATGAGATTTACTCCCAAGTTATATTTTAAAAGTGAAATCCAATTATTTTAAGTAGTGAGTAGGGTGTATATCACAGAGTAAGAAAAGGACTTTCTAGAATCACACGAGTCTTGGGAGATGGAAATTACATTATATAGAACAGTGTAACTAAGAATTAAAATACAATATTTGTCATTTCTCTCAACAGCTACTGTATTAGGTTTTTAAGGTCTTGGTTCAAGTTTATTTTAAAAATTGCTTAGTGCAAAAATTATGTTTCCAAACTGCATTGCAAAACTCAAGTTAAACAATTTCTTTGACCTTGAGTTTCTAAAACTTCTTGCTATTGTAGTGCTAACATCAGGGTTCCCCATTTATCAAAAGAGCAAGCCTGCTTTCAGAAAAAAGGCAAAATGTTATTTCTCCGAGGAAATTGGGGACGGTAAATGTTCTGCCATTCTTTTGAATGACTGGATGACTCACTCTAAGAGAAAGACCTGGAGAAAAATGCTTACTGACCAAACTATACATTTCACTCTTCATCTTTTTTTTTCAAATACCTCTACTTCCTTTTGTTTTTTCCTGTTTTATTGTTCAAAACTCTACCCATGTCATTTTCTCCAAGAAGCCTTCCAAAAATTCTTAAAAGGAATCAATTTTCTTTCCTTTAAGACTACCTAGAATTTAATTTGTAATACTCTTATGGAAATAACCTCATGCACTGTAATTAGTTATGTATGTTTCTAACTCCTTAGTAAACCATATGCTTCTTAAGAAAAATAACTGTTTTAATTACTTTTGTATCACATATCATAGTAGGTACCAAATATATTTATGTAACAAATAAGTGGATAAAGAATGTTGTATTCACTGCCAATTGTCACAGTGTTTCTTTAACAAAGTATACCCTGGTGCAAAATAGATATTTTAGCAGTGACTCCCGGTGACTTTAATTCTATTTACACTTGTTAAACATATAAAGAAAAGCTAGACTTACCTAGTTATTACCATGCACCTTCTATTTAAGCTCTTATTTAATCCTCATCATAGTCCTATGAAGGAACTTTCCCTACTATAGCCTTTATTTTTTTAGATGCGGCGACTGATACTCAATGAGTTCAAATAACTTGCTTTGAGCCCCAACAGCTACTGACATGCAAA